GGGCAGCTCCCCCGACTTCTCCGTGCATGGCTCCGTGTCCCTTCCCCTCGTATCTCCGGACAACTCCCTGTGCCCCCCGCCATCCCCCTACGCGTCCCGGCGCGGGTCCCCGAACAAACCCCTGCATTCCCGCCGCGTGCCGCGGTGCTGCTCCCCGAAACCCCCCCTGCCATCCCCYGCATGCGACCAGACAACCCCTGCACCCGCTGCATCCTCCCTGCGCGACCCGCTGCTGCTCCGTGAACAACCACCTGCGTCCCCCCCGCATCCGCCCGCATCCCTCTGCATGCCCCAGTACTGCCATCCGAGTTTCCTCCTGCACCCCAATTTGTGCTCCTGCTTCCCCAGGGCACCTCCTCTGCATCTCCCCCAGACCGCGCCCCTGCATCCTCCCAGCTCTGCTCTCCAGGTAGCCCATGGCAGCCTTCAGAGAGAGCCCCCGCATCGCCCCCGCATCCCCCTGCATGGCCCGGCATTGCTCTCTAGGTTTCCCCCTGCGCTCCTCTGCATCTTCCTTTGTGTCTCTGCATCGGCCCCGGGCAGCCCTCCATGCATCCTCCCAGATCTGCTCCCCAGGTATCCCGTGGAGAGACTCCCCACATTCCCCCTGCACCCCCTCAGCCGCCGATCGTGCATTTCCTGGCTCCGCTCCCCACGCAGCCCCTGCATGCCCCTGGGCAGCCGGTCTGAGCCCCCCTCTCTGTCTCCCTGGAATGTTTTGGCACTGCCCGAATCTCCCCCACTCCCCTTCCCCCTGCATCCCCCCAGGCATTCCTCCACCCCCATCCCTCTGTACCACCCCCACAAGCATGTCCCACTGCACCTCACCCCTGCATCCCTCCAGCACTGCCCCCACATTCCCTGGGCATCTCCCCCTGCCCCCATACCCTGGCACTCCCCCTGCACCCCCAGGCGAGCCCCAGACAGCTCCTCGTGGGTTTGGGAAAGGCCAGGAGGAACTGGCTGGTGGGGAGGGGTTTGGGACTGGACTCAGAGGATAAACCTGGCCACAGAGGCCCGAGGGACACCACCTTAAGCCACGGGCAGAGGCAGAAGGGCTGGAATGCTGACTCTGCCTCCCATGGATGCCATTCAGGGAACAGCAGAGACCTCGTGGGATATTGGAAACCGGGCTTTGTTTGGAGAAGGTGGCGGCGCATGCAAAGGCCGGGCTGAGGAGCGGGCCAGGGATGCTCTGTTCCACAGCCAGCACGGGAGGCCTGATGACTGCCCGAAATGAAGGGATGTTTCAGTGTGATTGCATTCACTCACATCACACCAGAGCTTCCCCTGAATCACAACCGAGCTCAGAAACGTGCCTGGGTCTCCAGGACAATGAGCAGCTGCATCCACAGACTCCAGCTGGGATGGTCTCAGGGTGSCTGTGATACCCAGAGTGGGTGTCATCTGTTTTCCAGAGCCTGACTGGATTTGAGTGGTATTTGGGATACAAGCCCCACACCACATCCATCTGAATACAAACGCTTTCCCGAGCCCCGAGCAGCTTTGCAAAACCCACCTGGGTGTGTGAGGGCAAGGGGGTGTCCAAGGAGTGACACTGAGTATCACTGAAGCTGGAGGAGAAAATAAGAGTCTGGTGCCACCCGTTTGTAGCAGCCATGGCACCGGGCAGGTGAGCTAGCGACAGCCTGAGGGAACAGGGAAGTACTCCCAGTGCAGCAGTGAGATTAATCCAAGGGAGATTTATAGGGAGCCTGTTCTGCATCAGACAGGGCCAAAATCCYCTGGCAGCTCCTACGCTGGGCTGGCTCTGACCCATTTGCAGACAGCAAATACGTGGAAGGGCCAGACGGAGGTGTGACCCTGTGCCACAGACAGGCTTGTCCTGGGAAATTAGAAACATCAGCAAAATGGGAATTTGGCGGGTTTCTGTGTGCAAACAGCGTTGTGCTGGCATTAGGGATGTGACAATTTGCTGCCACGATTTGCAGGCAATGGGGYGTTTGGTGACTCTGCAGCCACCATAAGCTGTTGCTGATGGAAATCACYGTGGGTTAATCATTGCAGGGACAGTGGAGCCTCCAGGGCTCATCACCCCACATGTCCTTGCAGGGCTGCCCCGTGTGCACCCTGGGCAGAAATGATGGGTTTTGTGTGGCCATTCCTTCTGATTATGCAGTGAAGGATGATTTCCATTAGTACCAGCACATTGCAAATCCAATCCTCACTTCCCATCTGGTTTATGGGCTTTTCCTCAGGTTTCCCATTGATTAAGGTGTGTGAGATGGATGAGCAGGGCTGGCGGGTGCGATGCAGCTCCAGAGACATGCGGCGGGGCAGAGCCAGAGAAGTGGSAATAAACGAAAGAAAACCCTTTGGTTTCACAACATCCACCTCGCTCTTCTGGGGAAGGTTTGAGGGGGCTGCTGCTGTCGGCAGGGGATGCAGAGGAGGGGCAAAGAATCTTCACCGGGAGCAGAGAAGGGGGATTGAGCTCTGGCAGCAGCAGGGAGGGTTTAGGGTATGGCAGTGGGAAAAGATTTCTGAAGCTTTTTAGRAGAGAGTGACGATGGGAAAAGGGTTGCCTTTGTGTGGCTGTGTGTGCAAAACCTCATTGTGTCTGTGTTAGGTGATGAAAAATGAGTGAATCCCAGGAGAATCAGGCTGAATCCATGTCTGGAAGTGCTCTGCATTCCACTGCAATGGTCATCATCACAGCCATCAAAACCTAGCCACAACCTGTATCCCAGCCCTTCCATCCCAAGGTCACTCAGCACAACTCCCAGTGCATCTCCTGGGGAATAGTGAGTGGTACCAGTAAAACCTTGTGCCCTGTGGTGGGTCCAGCTGTGCCTGCAGCACCGTGTGAGTTGGGTGAAGGCCTTGCCCAAATGTTGACAGCAACACTGGGACCAGGTTTTGGTGCTCCCTGGTCCCTGCACTGCTCCTGACCCCTCTACCATGGACATMATTTTGAAATTGAGAGTGGCAGTTTTCCCCAATGAACCCACAGGATTTATCAGAGGTGTCAGGAAAAACAGACTTTGGCCCCACATGCTTTGCAGTGGATGTAGACTAAGGCAGAGGTTAACTCTTTTCCTGGGATTATTTGAAAACCTGGAGAATTACAGCGAGACACCAAGAACGCAACAAATTTTGTGAGCTGAGAGGTTAAACAGAAGCTGCTGCAAAGGAAGCACGGTGAGAGGCAGTGCTGAACCAGTAACATTTAAACTCTCCTGAATAAAATTCATAATAACCCTGGCATTTTATATCTGTCCATGAATTACAGTTAAAATCCCACCATGACCCACGCACGCTTGTTGCTCCGTACAGCAATAAGATTACAGTGAAGATCTGGAAGAGCAGGGAAGAATGTAATTTAAATGCTGTTTCTTTGAAAATCAAGCCCTTCTTTTTAAGGCAAGTTCAGAAAAGGAAAGTACAAATAACGCAGCCAAAAGGTGYTATTTTTTCCAGGGGTGGGATGGCACCAGGCTGCCTGCCCTGGGCAGCAGGATTGTCATCCTGTCCCTGCCTGTGGAGGAGGGATGGCACTGTGGGAGCTGTGCCTCTGCCTGCTCCAGTGCAAGGAGTTAAGCAAACAAAAGCCATTTGGCAAACACACAGAGTCCAGAGGTGTCCCTGAGATGCCAGGAAGGGGAAGCCACTTGGCTTGGAGTCATCGGCCAGTCTGACTGGCAGGAGCTGCCCGGTGAAAGCACACAGGAGCTGGGGTTTTATCCTGTGCGTGATGAGAGCCTGTAGACATGGAGATTACAGCACAAATCAGGTTAAAACCCATTTATCTGACCCAAGCAGAGTCGGTGTGCTGGGACGTGCTGATGGCTGCAAACTTGTCCCGGAATGCCAGAGAGCCCGGCAAAGCCCAGCACGGTGGGGAATCCAGGGCATGCATTCATTAAACCAGMATACCTGGAAACAGCTCTTCCTGTAGCTCCCAGGCTTAACCAAATGAGTGGAATTTGCGCTGGCGTAATTAAAGTGATGCGGTTCAGGATCTTGTCTACACCCGGGAGTTACTGCAGCTTGGCTCTTCATTCTCTGGTGACAGCCCACGTGGAAGAACCCCCAGCTCCAGCCCCTGCACGGCTCCAGTGCTGACTTCTCACCATCAGGGTGCCCATTAACACCAGTTCATTAACACCAGTTCATTAACAGCAGCAGCACAGGCTCCAGCATCCTCGGGCAGCTGCCCCGGCTCACTGCAGCACACAGCACCATGGCAAAGCACCGGGCTCCCTCCAGGGAATTGGAAATCTGCAGGAGAAATTCTTCCATTTAGATTCACTCATCTCAAACAATCTCTTTTTTTTTTTTTTTTTTTTTCTCTGCTCGCCCTTTCTGGTGTTAAAATAACCCCAGACTCACTAGTGGCCAGATGGTTTTGGGGATATTAATGGTAAAATCCTGCACGCGAGTGAGCTGCCAGTGAAACTTGCCAGTGGAAAATAAGATTTGGAGCCGCTGTGGTGCTTCATCCCCACGGCTGATGTGTCACAGCAGCACACAGACTCTGGCAAAGAYACTGCTGCTGTCACCATGCAGCAGCACCAGCTCTGCAGCTGGGAAAGTCCTCCGTGAATTCCCAGGAGATTCATGCTCACTGGAAAAATCCTGTCCCTGGCTTTTTCCTTCCCTTTSTAAATCTGGATTAAACCGCTTTCAGACTGAAGAGGTGACATCAAATGTGATGGAGAGGAAGGAGGGGATGAGGTGGAGCAAGGCCCAAGGAGGTGGGGACAAGCAGCAGTGTTGGTGCCCAGCTCTGGTCACAACACTGCAGGTACAGGGAAATTCATTTCYGAATTCCTGAAACACCCTTTTGATAAATCTCTGATCCCTGGCAGCTCTCAGTGAGAAACAGGGAAATCTATAGGGAAAAAGCACTCCTGCCAGGGTGAAAGAGCTCAGAACCACAGTGATGACCAAGGAGGATGTGCCAATGGTTTTCTGCCAYCCAGCACCTCTTCCAAGCCCTGAAGGCAGCAGCCAAAGGGATTTAAATTGGGGATTAGAGAGGCTGCCCGGCTGCAATGATACACTCAGGGCACGGGGAGTGGAGCATCCCCATGCCAGAGGTTTTAGTTGTAATTAGCCCAACATCTGTCCGGCARTGGTTGGGGCTTGCGCAGTCACTGCGCTGCTCCAGACTGGCCTGGAGATTTCCCACAGGCTCCTCCTGCTCAGCTTTTCTGCAATTTCACAGATACCTGAATTTTTTTCCCCATCTGATGGGGAAAAAAATCTTTCMTCTCTGGAAAGATTAAATCTTGATTGTCAGGTGCTGGTGTAGCGGGCAAGAAAATTTCCTGCCTAGTCCAAATGTCATCCTGGTAAAAACGCTAGCAATAAAAAAAAAAAAAATAAAAGAGAAAGTCCATTACGGACTGAGACCTAAAAACATATCCAAAAGATGGATCCTGAAGTTGAAAAACAACTGAAGCTCAGTGGCCAAGGGGCACTCTGGGGACTGCTGGGCCCTGCACACACATTCATAGKGTGGAAAAATCAATCAAAGGTAATTGTCTGTATGCTTGGTCTTGAACTAAAAGGGAACAAACCCCAGCCTTTTCACCCATCTTGGATAGATTTGGGGTTTATAGTTGTTTTGAAAATTAGGGCAAAGAAGGAAATAYCCAAGCTAAGGGTGATAGAATGGGGAGATGCTTTACCTGGAGAGGATGCTGGCACAGGGAGGGGACCACAGGGCTGTGTCCTGGTGGCATCCACCCCACATGTAAAGTAGGAATCCTTCTTCCTCCTCTCCTGGTTGTTGCCACCATCCCACTTCATCCAAAAGCATTGTACCTGGGAGAGGCAGCAGAGCCAAGAGGGTGCTGGTAATAACAAACCAAGCCAAGCCAACCCCACCCCTGGAAGAGCAGGTCTTGGAAAAGCTGGTTCCACCGGTGCCACGTGGGGGAYGTTGTCACCATGCAGGGGAGGCTATTTCAGTGTCCCCAAAGGACACACGGCCATCACTGTTGGAATGATGGCTCCAGGGATCAAGAACTGGACTCTTTGAAGGGGCTGGGGGTCACCAGGAAGGGACAGCCACTGTGTGCTCACTGTGGTGGCTTTGTCAGATCAAACACAACTCTTCTACTTCATTCCCAAGTGTGGTGAAGTACCCGAGGACCTGGCTGTGACTGGCACAGGATGAGCCCCACCACTGCATTTTCACTTCCCAGCAAATCCCATGGCACTGGAGCAAGCACCAGGAGCAGAAACACAGAGGGTGGAGAGATGCAAAGATCAAACCAGCAGTGATTTCAAAATAAAATCCGACAGCCCRGGGAAAACACGGTGTGTCCTTGCCGAGGCTATCATTTATGCCAATTAAAAAAAAAAAAATTGGCATGGCACGAAGGAGAGCTGCGTGGTATTTCCTGAAAAGGGTGTGGGGAGCATCCTTGGAAAGCCTGCCCTGCACAATGTGCTTGCTGTTTCCAGAAAAATAAAGTTTGCTGTGACCCACCTGTCCCTGAAAAGCAGCTATTTAGGGCTGGAACACGGTCAGCCTGGAGTCAGTGGCTGGGTCTGTCCTGACTGCAGAGSAGCTGGCACCTTTGCCAGGCTCTGGGGTTTGGCATTTACCTGCAGCTCTTTAACTGCTGAAAAATGTCTTAGAAAAAAATGCAGGAGCACTGCCCAAGCACTAAGCCTCACAGCTAAAGGTCTTTCCCCACAGCTTTTGGCTGGTGGCCATTAAAGCCCCTACCAGAGCCGTGCCTGAACAGGACAGGAGGGGTTTTCTCCTTTGCCACCTTCAGATTTTGGGAGTATTTTGCCTCAGCTGGAATCTGGGGGATTTCAAGCAGCAGCTTTGGGATTTGAGATGGCTGCAGGAGCGATGGGTGAGAGCAGCCTGGTGGGACTGAGGAGGGGCTCTGCTGGTAAAGGACACGAGGGCCACTCTTGGGAAGGGACACTTTCTGCTGGAGAAGGGGGTGTCCCATGGGTTTGTCTCCCCTCATCCTCTAGCAAGCCTGGACCAGGACTCACTCACTCCCCATCCCAGTGGCAAAGCATGCTTGGGGCTCACCAAGGGCATTTCTGGAGGTTTCGGCAGCAGCAGAAGACCTGCCAAAGCCTGASCTCCAAGTGAGCTTACCTTTGGCATGGAATTTCAATGGGGGAGCATGGAAAACAAACACAAACCCACAGTTTGGATGGGTTTTCTTTTGTCTCAGAAGCTGTAGGCAGGCGGTATTTGGGTGACCAGAGTGGATCCGGCGTTTTCTGGGCAGCCACGATGCAGAAAGAGAAGCAGCTCCACCTTAGGGCAGGCGCTGGTGCTGGAGCAGACACCAATTCAACCATCAACCATCATCTGTGCCCCAGGCTTCCAGCCARCACCAAGCTCTCAAGATTTGGGATCAGTTTGGGGCTGAGAATTTAGGGTTTCCTTTCGTCACACTAAAAAAAAAAACAAAAAAAAAAGCTCCAATATTTATTTATTTTCTTTCCTGATGAGGCTGGAAGACRGGGGGTAAAAAAGGCTGTTTTCAGCAAATCACCCCTTGCATCCTGGAAAAGCACCTGAGACCCACAGCAGGTGGAAATCCCACACAGAGCAAAATTTCCACAATAAAAACTCATCCCAAGTGGAAAAAAAAGAGTCAAAGACAAAGTAGAGTTCTATGGAGCCCTGGACATGTCTGCATTAGTCCCATAAAAATCAGCTTTTTGTGGGTATTGTGGAATATCGGCTTCCCCACAGGAGACAGCAGGAGAGATGCTAACCTGGTCTCCATTTGAAAGCTGCTTATTAGTGCTCATCAAGCATAATTATGCTTCAAAGCCAAATGAGATGTCCAACTGAATTCTGAACACACATTAATGTTTTTAAACGTGAAAAAAAAAAACCAACAAAACCCCATTTATTGAATCCCAGCCAGGCTCCAAATGTTAAAATAGATGCTGCTAATGGCTTTGGGAAGGGAGGGCTGGAGCTTCACTGCAGCTTTGCCAATTAAATGGTTATTACTGACCAATTAGTCAGGAATCAGCCCTGTTTTTAGTGATATCTGATTAAGTGCGTCCTGCAGATGAGCCTCAGTTGTTAACCAGGGCAAAGAAACACCTTCTCCCCATCAGCTCCCCCAGACACTCACACCRGGGCAGGGTTTGTGCCACCCTGCTCATTAAAAATCCCTTTTTCTTCCAGCACTACCACTCTTCTGGGGGAAACACATCTCAAGGACCCACCCAGGCACGGCAAAACCTTTCGGAGCTGGGAAGGAAATGGGAAGGAAATGAGGGAAAAGGGGAAAATTAACCACACGCAGAGGGTGGCTTCTCCCCCTGCAGCTCGCAGGTTGCTGCTGCCCGGCTCATGCTGGGCCATGCCCATTCACAGCCTTTTCCAAATATTATCCCAATATTTTCTTTCAGTTCCCAGATAAATGGGCCTCTTCAGCAGGCTTTAAGCCTGCTCTGTTCCAACATTTTCTTTAAAGCAGCAGAGGAAACATTTAAGTTGTGCCAAGCTGCTGAATCCCGCTTTCAGGGCTGAGCTGCAAGGGGTTTTCCAAGAAAAAATAGGGGCAGTGTTGGGCTTTTTCCCTSTTTCATCAGAAAATATGAAGGAGGCCACATCACCCCTTAATCTTCCTTTCTTCCTGCCTCCTCTCCTACCCTGCAGTCTGTCATTCCCATGCTTTCCTGTGGTCTTSAGAAATTTCTGAGCATTTTCCCAGTTTTCCATAGTACTCCATGGGCAAGCAGGAGCATCCCCCTGCAGAGCATCCTCCCTCTGAGTATCCCTGAGCCATGAGGAAATTCCAGGGGACCCTGGTATCGGCCATGGGGCAGGGACAGCAAGGCCACAGCACCCAAGGGAACTGCAGAAATTGCCTATGCAACAGCCAGGGGTGGTGGAGCCAGACAAAAGATAGGAAAGCACAAAAAAGAGCAGAATTTTGGGGAAGTGTCAGTGCAAAGAGCCTTCCAAGGACTGGGTGCAGCAACATGCAGAGGGWCCATCTAACCAAAATTATGCTGGATGAAGGATGCTGCAGGGGATGCTGCAGGCCCAGGGAAGCTGCTGTGGTTCRGCAAAGGATGAGTGCTGAGCTCCTTGTTCCAGGTGAGGAGGAGACACCTCTGGATGCCCTTGAACWGCCCAAGGGAAATGGGTTTTGCACAGCACCTGGGCAGAGAGAGCAGTCCTTGGCCACAGAGAAGCTCCACGTGGATCTGAGGTGCAAGAGGGCGAAGGAGGGGAAAGAAAGTTTAAAGACAGTGGGAGATCCTGATGGGCTCAAGGTGGACGAGAGCAGACTTGGTACAGCRGGGCCCTGCTGAAGGCATTTCCTGGCTTCTTACTCTGCCCTAGACATCTACAGCTGGTGCTTACAGGATCTGGAGGGGGAGTGAGGGGGTGATGCTCCCCAGGCACTGGGACATGTGGGATCCATGGGATTGTGTCCTTGGGAAGTGCCACTAAGATGTCCCAACCTGTGATGTGCAGGAGCTTCCCCAAAGGGACGCCCAAAGAGGTCCAGCCCCAGTGACAGGACAAACTCAGTGACTGGGCATGGGATGTGGCCCTTTCCCTCGTCCCCATCTGGGTTCCCGGTCCTGGAAAGGGTGGAATCCCATTTTCCCGGGCCGCAGGATGGGGCATGAAGAGGTCAACAGCCCCACGAGATGCAGGATCCATGGCAGCCTCTGTCTGTCCCCATCCTCCGGAGCAGCGCAAAGGCTGAGTCAGCTCATTTCCTCGCACCGTTCCTTTACCTGGGAGCATCCCTGGGGGCCAGGGCAGGCACATCCCC